AGAACCCTAGTGGCTTACTCTGAGTCCCATGGCTAGTAAGTGTCTGAGTCAGAATTCACACTCAAGTGAATCTGACAGCAGTCAGATTCAAATCCTGCCCAGAAGACTTACTGGCTGGGTGACCTTGGGCAAGTCACTTAACCTCTCTGGGACTAGTGTTCTCCTAGGTTAAAAAAAAAGGAGATTGGACAAGATGGCCTGTTAATCTCCCCTCCAGCTCTAAATTTCTGTTCTCCTGGTTGGCTTTTTTATTCCTTTGCACTCGCACATAGGGGGTAATCAGAAAAATGGGTTTTGATGCCGAATTTTTCCTTCGTTCTCAAGCACAGCCCTCCCTCCCCTCCTGGAGCTGAGAAATCAGTAGTGATTAAAGTTTGCCTTTCCCTCTCTCCCCCTCCCCCTCCCTAGCCCAGGCTTCCTTTTTCAGAGCCGTCATCTCCACTTTCCTGACAATCAGACTCTTCTGCAAAGTTCCCCAGCATTGCCACACCTGGGGCTTCATCAAAGGAGCTCTGATTTCCCTCCCGCAGCCCTAAGCTGTCAAAAATCCTCCCCACTTACTATGGGGCCAGCATCTTAATGGGCTCGGGCCCACTCCCACCCTGCCTGCCTACTTTCCCAACCCCGGTGCCCCTCACAGTCTTCAGCACCATCATTTTCCTCCACCACTCCTAGCAATAAATAAATAAATAAATAAATGCTTTGCCCCGTCTTGATGCCAAGAAGGTTCAAGGGGACCAAGGCCAGCCTGAGAGGACCATAGTAGGAACAGCTGGGGGGAGGGAGCAGAATTCAGCTCAATATGAGGAAAAACTTCCAGACAGTGAGATTTGTGACAAGCAGTGGTGAGCCCTCCATCACTTGAGCGGGCTGGCTGGCCACTTACAGAGGAAGGAGGGTGCTGCAAGTGACTTCCCTTCTCTTCCCCTCCTCTGTGAAATGACAAGATTGGACAAGGTAACCGCCAAGCTCTAAATGCTTGATCCGGCATCTTCAGAATCTATGATCATAGAGCTTCCTCCCCACCCCAGCCTCCCTTCTCCCCAGAATTTAAAACACCATTAACATAGATACTAATAATAGTAATTCACATTTGTCTGATTTGTAAAGCACTTTCCTCGAAAGAGCCTTGTAAGACAAGTGGCAAACCCTCACGGAACAACAAGACCCAATGAGTTTGTGTCCCAGCTCAGGCCACCTCACCCACCACACTTGGAATCACTAGATGAAATTAAAATTGAGCAATTGCAGACAACAATGATCTCCCTGAGCTGCCAGCCTCTTCCTCAGGTTTGCCAGGGACCCATTCCCCGATCTCAGGGGTAGGATCCAAGCAGAGAGACCCCTGGAGTCCAGAAGCCAGGCATGGACCGCTGCTCTGAGCCCAGGCAGGAAAACTGAGAACAATTCAATTCTCTGTGTATGGAAGCACTAAGGATACAGACAAAAAGACAGAACAACCCTGCCTTCAAAGAACTTTCATTCTATTGGAAGGAAATAATCTGAACACAAACAAGGAAATGCAAAACAATTTGAGGAGAGGAGAAAGTATGACAGGTTGGGGGAAGGAGCCAAGGTTTCCTGTGGGGCCACTGAGCTATTCTGAAGGAAGCTCGGGGTTTTTCAAGGCAAAGGGTGTAATTGTGATCAATCTGGAGTGATAGGTTGGAGCTGATTTCAAAGGGCTTTAAATGAGAGGAATTTGCATTTTGTCCTAAAAGGATTAGGGAATAGCTGAAGCTGTGTGGTGGAGGCAGTGACCTGATCACATCTGTGCTTTAAGGATATCACTTTGGAAGTTGGGCAGAGGATCACTGAAGAGGGAAGATGATGAAGGGGGACTGGTGAAGAGGCAAGACTTGCTAAAGGCCTAAGGTGGAGAAATGGCCAATGGTGGGAGAGAAGGGGATGGGCGCAGGAGATGCTGAGGAGGTAGAGTCTTACTGGATGTGGAAGGAGATGAGAGTGACTTTACTGGAAGGGTGGTTTTGTCGTACATAGACACAGGGAACTTAGAGGGATGGGTTTGTGGGTAGGGAAGGTGACGAGGCATGACTCTGGGTCAAGGACCTGAAAGAGGGGATAAGGCTGGGGGTGAGGACAGAAGGGAACAAGCTATCTTCTATGTGCCAGATGTGGGCAGCTAGGTGGTGCAGTGGAGAGAGTGCCAGCCCTGGAATCTGTAAGACTCGTCTTCCTGAGTTCAAATCCAGCCTCAGACACTTACTGGCTGTGTGACCCTGGGCAAGTCACTTAACTGCTGTTTGCCTCAGTTTCCTGATCTGTAAAATAGGAATAATGATAGCACCTACCTTCCAAGGTCATTGTGAGGATCAGATGAGATCCTATTTGTAAAGCGCTTAGCACGATGCCTGGCACATAGTAGTCATTTAATAAATGTTTCTTCCCTTCCCACTGTCCCACTGTAAAATGTAGTTTTCTGAGGACAGAGACTATTTTGTTTCTTTTCTGTTTTGTAGCCCCGGAGGAGCCTAGCAGAGTTTCTTACACAGTAACACGCACTTAATAAATGTTCGTTGGATGGGAATGGCCCAGACACTCAGGATCACACATCAAGTGAGTGACACAGCCAATATTTGAGCCCGGGGCCTTGGGAGTGCGCCGTGGGACTGCTTCTCAAGCAGAAAGCTGTCTTCCCCAGCAGAAACAGAAGAGGCACTGAGGTTTCCTGCTGCCCAGCTAAATATTCATTCCAGTCAGTCATTCCCCAAATGTTTTGGGTGCACCTATCAAATGAGCACCAGGTACGGCAGGCTTTCGCGGGCCGGTTTCAGGGGAGAGGGGCAGGAAGGGGCCGGATGAGGTAGGTCCAGAAGCACGTGGACACCTGCGGAAGGGAGGCTGATGGCAGCTCGCGGTCCCTGTTTCTCCTCATGGAGATGCTGATTCCGACAGAAACCATCAGAGCATCAGCTCAGTATTTATTTATAGGCCCAGGGTGGCGAGGGAGCCAGCTAAGCCGCCCAAGTTTTCAAAGTCTAAGCAGCTTTAGGGGAAATCGGCTCTTTCTGCTGCATGAGAGACAGCCTGAGAAGGAACAGGGGAGGGGAAGAGATCGCAGGAGGCGGGTGCAGGGGTCAGGCTGTCAAAGACATCATCTGTATCCTGAGGAAAATGAGGCTGCAGAGGAGAAGGGAGGCAGAGATGGGGGGAAGGTGAGGGGGACAAAAGAAGCATCAGCAACTCAGTCCGGTGCTCCCTAGGCCCAGCTTTGCTACCCACAGATGAATGGCATCTCTGCTTCCTCTCTATGCCAAGCTCACAAGGGTGAGCATTCCTGAGGGTCTAGGGTAACTGCCCTATTGACCCTTCCTACAGCAGGAGATAGAACTTAGGGGCCTGACACCAAGGATGGGGCCAACCTTGTACCAGACCTATCTCTTGGTGAGAGAGTCCACACCCACCTTTTCCCAAGGTGCTGGCCAACTGGGATGCCCTCCCACCTCTAGCCAACTGAAATGCCCTCCCTTTCATCAATTAAATATCATACAGAAGCATGTAGGAACTCAAAGGTCTTATATGTCACAGAATGTCAGAGCAGGAAGGGCCTTTAAAACAGGGAATGTCAGAGCTGGGAGGGGCCTTAGAACTCAGGATGTCAGAGCTGGAAGGGATCTTGGAACATGGAATGGCAGAGCTGGAAGGTCCCTTAGAACACAGAATGTCAGAGCTGGAAAGGGCCTTAGAACACAGGATGTCAGAGCTGGAAGGGGCCTTAAAACACAGGATGTCAGAGCTGGGAGGAGCCTTAGAACACAGGATGTCAGAGCTGGGAGGGGCCTTAGAACTCAGGATGTCAGAGCTGAGAAGGATCTTAGAACATGGAATATCAGAGCTGGGAGGTCCCTTGGAACACACAATGTCAGAGCTGGGAGGAGCCTTAGAACTCAGAATGTCAGAGTTGAGAAGGATCTTAGAACATGGAATGTCAGAGCTGGGAGGTCCTTTACAACACAGAATGTCAGAGCTGGGAAGGGCCTTAGAACACAGGATGTCAGAACTGGGAGGGACCTTAGAACATAGAATCTCATAGCTAAGATGGCCCTAGGCTCACAGAATTTAGAACACAGTATATTAGCTAGAACCTTAGAGTGCCCCCTAAAATTCCATCCTCATTTTGCTAGAGGAGTGGCTGAGGCCCAAAGACATGGGGCCACTTGCCCTCGGTCACACGGCCAGTAATGGATGGGGGGCTAGAATCCAAGCCCCTTATTCTTAGTGGGAAACTTATCTTTCTTCTAGTAGCTTCTTTTATTTATTTTAATTTTTCTCTTCTGTCATGAACTTAATAACCAACAGAGACATTTTAAGATCCAAGGAACACGAAAGAGGGTTACATAAGACACTGTGAACTTCTGTCACATACTGTTGGGTTATTTTAAGAACTATATATTAAGTTTAGCAAGGTAGTAACAAGACAGTTGGGGGTTTTCTGTCATCTTTTATACCTCGTGGCTTTCTTCTGTGCATTTTTGAAAAAGGTTAAGTTCTTTCAGTGTTTTGTGATGCTCTTTTCCTCCCTCTCATGTCTATTCTAATGCTCTTCCTCAGGCCCCAGAGGTGAGCCTTTGTGGACTGGGGCTTCCCTCCCCACCAGGCCCTTGAAGGGTCCTCCTCCCTTGCCCTCCAAACTCCTTTCCTCTTGTTGTGCCTTTAGGGAACAGGAACCCTGTCTGTGTCTGCCTTTGCTCTGTTCCTCATTGTACTCTTTCTGTCTGTTCTGTGTTTTCGGTCTTACGGTTGAGGCCCCTGAGGATGACAGTAAGCTCTGCTCCCGGAGTTAAGGCCCCACCTGGCCACCACCCACAGGTGGGAACTGGCTGTACTCAGTTCCTGTGTGGGACTCAGGGGCTCTGGGCCCCTGCAGCCAGGACTGTCGGAGCTGAGCCATGCCAGGCTTAGCAAGAGCAGGAAAAACAGGTTTTAGAGTACAGCCATCCAGACCGACCTCCCACACATCACTGCTTCATGCCCAGAGTTTAACCCTGCAGGAAACAACAAGAGGAGGCTGGGGGCCATCTGTGCAGCCAGTGTGGACATCGTCAAAGGCCCTTTTGTGGCTGAGCCTGGCCTGGCCTGGACAATACCTAAGTTTATGAGGCAGTCTATGAGTAAGAGTGGGGGGGGGGGGTGGGAGGGTGTGTGTGTGTGTGTGTGTGTGTGTAAAAGAGAGACAGAGAGGGGAAACAGAAAGAGAGGAGGAAAGGGACAGAAAGAGGAAGGGAGAGGGAGAAGAAAGACAGACAGAGATAGAGAGGCAGAGAAAGGGAGACAGAGAAAGAGGAGAGAAGGAGAGAGAGAGGAAGAGAATGAGAGGAGGGAAGGGAGGGAGGGAGAGAGAGGGAAGGAGAAAGTGTAAAGGAGGAAGGATTAGAGGAGGGAATAGAGAGAGAAAGTGAGAGAAGGAGAGAAGAGAGAGAGAAGGAGAGAGAAAGAAAGCTACAGAGAGAGAAAGGGAGGGAGAGAGGGTGGGAAAGGAAGAGAGGGAGAGAGACAGAAACGGAGAGCTCACTATTTGTCAGGAACTTTGCTAATCACTGAGGATACAAATAAAAGCTAGGAAGCCAGCTCCTGCCCACAAGGAGCTTACGATCTATTGGAGGGAGATAATGCATAGAGTGGAGCTGGAAAGGGGAGAGGAAGACACAAACCATGGAGAGGCTGGAGAAGTCAAGGAAGTGCTGTGGGACAGAGCAAGATGAGACCAAAATGGGCCCCTCCAAGTCAAGGACAGTTCCAGGAGCAGACTACCATTATCTAGTGGGGAGGGAATGGCCCCAGTGGAGATGAGTGTAGAAAGAAGATGCGTGGGAAATAGAGCAGCTTGGAAGCACAAAGACCTGGGTTCAAATTCTACCTTAGGCACTTAATAGCTTTGGAACTCTGAGCAAGTCACTTAACTCCTTTGTGCCTCAGTTTTCTTATCCATAAAACAATTTTTAAACCTCAAAGGACTATGGAAATGGGAGTTACGATCGATCTTATTATTGATGGGATAGAGATGGTGTGGTTCCGTGAGTGGGGCCCCAAGCACTTACTTGCTGCGTTGAGAGCCCCATCTAAGGATTGCCTTGTCCCACTGGACCCCAGCTCCAACCTTGTTGCTCCCTGATACTGTCCCTGAATCCCAACTTTCCTGTTCCCACCTCTGGGTCTCTTTAGGATGACAGCATAGAATAGAGTCAGTTGGGTGGAGAGGCAACAGCCCTGGATTCTAGCCCAGGCTCAGTCACTCACATGCTAGGAGACTTTGGACAAATCACTTTCCCTCCCTGGGTCTCAGTTTCCACAGCTATAGATTGAGAGCTCTGGATTATTCCATTCCACAAGCACTTATTAAGCACCAACTGTATACCTGCTATGGTACAACAGGTGCCACACTTGTGGTAAGTGCTAGTGATACAAAGACAAAAATAACGCAGGTTATACTGGGTAGAATATAGGACTTGGAGCCAGGAGGACCTGGATTTGAATGCCATCCTAGACTAGGTGGGTGACTGGACAAATCACTTAACCTCTCAGGCCTCAGTTTCCTCATCTGTAAATTAAAGGAAATCAGATGCAATCACCTCTAAGGTCCCTCCAGCTCTAAAGCTATGACACCCTGGTCCTAGTAAGTTTATATTCCACTAAACTACATATATGTGTGTATATTTGAATGTATATGTATATGTGTATATATACACATACATCTATAATATACATATATAAAATATAGAATATATGTACATATGTATATCTATGTATATAGATATATATCAAGATCTCTTCAAGCTCTGTTTATAGTCTGAGCCAATGAGACACATCTCCTTAGCTTGAGGCCCAGAGAGGGATATATAACTTGCCAAAGGTACCATAGCATATTTTAGTGACAGAATGCCCCTCCCCTTGAAACTTCTATTGGCCTAGTCATGCGCTACCCTCTTGCCTTCAGATATTGGGCCAGGCACCCCCTGCCCATCCCAGGCAGCTCTGATCATGTCATCAGTACATATCCCTTAGTACTAAAATGCCTGTTATGCACTTTATTCCAATAAGTCTCATACCTGTGATGCTATTTAAGTGAATCTAAATCCCTTTTCAATATGTCATCTCTTCTCAGACTCTAAGGGACAGAGGTTAGGAACTATTCCCCCCTGTTCTCCCTTCCTGCCCAATTAAACTGATAACTTCCCAAATCTCCCTTCAGACTGGACAGTGCCCAAGGACAAGGACTGTGTCTCTTCTTTCCAAGGCAGGAAGTTGGGGGGGGGGTCCTTGACTATGAGGGCAGACACAATAAATCCCCCCCTAGACTGAAAACTCTCCCAGGGCAAGAGGTGGGATTTCCACCCTCAGCCTGAGTAATCAATGAAGGCAGAGACTAAACCTTCCTTCTCTTTCACTTCAGGCTTGGGGATGAGGGAAGTCTCAGAGGTCTGGGAATGGACTTCCACCATCATCTTGGGAATCCTTCCAAGTGAAGACAATGTCTCCCTCCTCAGACTGGGGGCTCCCCAAGGATGGGGATCAAATCTTCCTCTCTTTATTCTCCCTAGGGCCTCTACAAACAAAACACGCTCAATAAATGTCAATTACTGTGGAACCTTCAGCAAATTACCTCACATCTCAACCTGCTTCTTGAAAATGGGGCAGGAGAAGCTTGGGTAAGTAAGAACACAGAAAAAAAATGTTCTTGATTTCTCTCTGAAGGCTCCCTAGCTACCTCCAAAAATCCAGTCAACTCAATGCATTGTTCATTCACTCCACTGCCAACTGCCCCCATGTGAGATAAATCCAACTTTCAACCAGTCCAAAAACTGAAAATCCAACACTCAGAGGAGAACCTGGGACCCCACAGGAAGTTCCCGGGGTCTGAGCCAGAGGAAGGGGGGCACACCAACAAGGGAGATGGAGACTTCTGGTTTGGAATACTCTGAGGGATGCCTGGTCATCCCTTTGCTTGGAGCTGACCACCTTCAGCCATCTAAGACAGAAAGAGCCCCCATTTTAGAATTAAGAGAACCATCTCTGCAGTATACTGCTGGTGGGAGCTGAGCCCCCACCTCTCATTTGTAAAAACAAAATAATAGCACATGCACCGCCTGCTTCTCTGGATGTGGTGAGGAATCTAACCTTCATGCTCCAGAGGTATGTGTATCAGGTACATCTCTGGGTGTGGGAGGAGATGGAAAGAAGGGATTTTACAGGGAAATGGAACTCTTCCAAAAGAGACAGGCAAACTAGCCTACAATTTAGCAGCTTAGAAAGTGTCCTGGGGCACTTTGAGGCCAACAGACATGTCCAAGGTCACATAGCCAGTTTCTCTCCAGATCCAGCTCTCTATCTGAGCCAATCACCTAATATGTGGTAGACATTTCATAAGTTTTTGTTGATTTGAACTGAATTGGACTGGACTGGACTGGATTAGACAGAATGAACTGACCTGGCACAGTGGAAAGAATTATTGACTCTGGAGTTAGAAGACATCTCCAATTATTGCCTGTGTGAGCATGGGCTAGTCATTTAATGTCCCTGGACCTCAGTTTCCTCGCCTGTAAAAAGGGAGATGGCAGACTAAATGATCTCTCCAATCTCTTCCATCTCTAGATCTATAATCCTACTATATATAATCTGTCGTTTAGGGTCTATCCCCAAAGACTTGGCCAGGGAAAGCTGGGAGAAAAACCCTATGCTCTAGGATCCTATAAAAAGAATTCTCCCACGTGCCCATGACTTCCACTGAGGTAGATAGCAACTCAGAATTTAATAGATGGTCTTTGTCAATTGCTGTGGACCAAAAAAGACATGCATCCTCTGGTATCCAGCCCGATGAGATGCGTCTCTGCATTGGGTTAAGCTGGTCCTCAGCCATCAAGCACAGTCTAATGCAGAGAAGGAGCTGATCTGCATCTGCAAAGGGACTTTCCTCATCGGGGAGTTCCCTAGACCCCTATCCTCAGCCTTTCCAGCTTGCATGGTTAGCCTTGACAGAGCTGGCATAGTCTAGATAGGGTCACCTCCAAACTGGGATAAAGAGGCAAAGGCAAAGGGTTTCCCTGGAGGAGTTGATGTGAGGAATTCACTGAATAAAGTTTTGACTGAGTACTCTAGACATGGGAGTTGTCATCGGCATCATCTTCAGGATGGCCTCCCAGGAAAGAAACAACCACACCCTGGCTTTGAGTTCCTTGGACAAGTCATTTCATTCCTCTGTGCCTCAGTCTTAACATATATATACACATACATTCACTAACTTCTTGGTGCCCAGGGTCACAAAATGTGTCAGAGTCACAAAAGACAGTGCTTGAACCTAGGCTTTCCTGATTCTAAGGGACAGACGTTTACTTCTGGATAGCAATGATGTCTCTCTATCCCTGTTACATTTGAGGAAATTGAGGCACAGAGAAATGATGCAGACATCTGTTTACTTCTGGATAGCAATACTGTCTCTCGATCCCTGTTATATTTGAGGAAACTGAGGCACAGAGAAATGATGCAGAGGACTCTCAATTTTCTGCTAATGAAGGTAAATGGCTCCTCTGTGACTTAAAAGTTAGGAAAGATGCCTAGAACCCTGAGAAGTTCAGTGATTTGCCCAGAGACATACAACCACCAAGTGTCAGAGGGGAGACTTGAACCCAGGTTTTCCTGTCTCAGAGGCCAACTCTGTACCCATAGATGAAAAGTGATCATAAGTATGAGCTATTTTTATCTGTTTCCAAATAGGAAGGAGAAAACATCAGCAGTCTGAGTGCCTTCATTAAGTCTAGTCCAAATCTCTCCTGCTGCAAGATTATAAGTCTCCTTGAAGTCCTTCTCCCCATGCCTACCTAGCTCCCACTTTCCCATATTAGTCCTTCCTGACCCAGGTTCTAGTCTAACCCTCTCCAATTCCCACGCATGTCAGGACATCACCCTCATGTTGGCTTTGGTCCTCTCTGAAAATGAAGGATGAACAACTGGGCCCCCATGCTAGCCCCTGGCTCTGTTTCTACTGTACAGCTCAATGAAGGGTGCACAGTAAAACCTCAGGGATTGTGTAGACCAACCTCCTTGACTTAAAGATGAGAAAACAAGGGGAAATGGCACACCCAGGGTCACACAGCTAATCGGCAGAGCAGAGAATTGAACCCAGGTCCTAATGTCATAGGTTCAGAGCTGTCAGGAGCCTTTGGGGTCACCCAGTTTGGCCCTTTCCTTTGACAGAGGAGGAACCCACACTCCAGATGCATTGCATGATTTATTTGTCCTAGGAACAAGGGTCAGAGGTGGGATTTGAACCCAAAGCCTCTGATTCCAGATGCAATTCAATTTCTTCTGTAGCAGGCCAGTCCTCTGACTCCAAATCCAGGGCTCTTTCCATACAGCCCAGATTTCATCTGGAAGAGAAATCAGACTCCTGCTGCTTGGCCCCAAGGGCAGAACAAAGTCTCAACACAATCTAGTTGCAGAGAGACAGATTTCAGCTCAATGCAAGGACAAGCTTCTTAACAATTCAAGATTTCCAAAATGGAATCAATAACCTTGGAAGGTGGTGAGTTCCTCAGCACGGGAGGTCTTCAGGAAAAGGCTGGGTGGTCCTTTGTCAGGGATCCTGCTCTGAAATAAATGACTTCGGGCTTGAGGCCCCTGCTACTTTTGGATTGGAGGCTGTGGTTTTAGCCTGGCCTTGGCTGCGGATGCGGCTGCACCTGGCCAGCTGTGTTTTTTCAGCGCATTGATTAGGAATCAGCCACATGTTACCATAATGGGACCGTGGGGGCTTCAGGGCTGAGCTGAAGTGAGCGACAGTCAGCACTTCCCAGGATTGTGGATGATGAGCCTTCCCAGCCCCTCCTGAGCCATAAGACTGGGTCTATTGTTTCTGAGGACAAAGAAGAAGATGAAGGAGCCCAAGCTGCATCTACCTCCCCCGCAGGCCAGGCTGGTTCACCTGCTTTGGCACTGTACCACTGTGTAGGTTACCTAGGATTTACAGGTGGAAGGGATCTCAGGTAGAAATCATCTAGTCTATTTTACAAAGAAGGAAACCGAGGCCCAAAGAGGGAAAGTGATCTGCCCAGGGATTTTAGGGGAGAGAGATGCCTGGTAAACCTGCTCCAAACCCCAGCCCATGGCAACACCACCTCCCTCCTCACCCCTGGCCCTGACTGCCATTCCCAAAACTAACCGGAAAGGAGAGAGAACAATGGAACAATGAGAAGACCTCAGGACTGGTAGGCAGGAGATGAGTTCCAGTTCTGGCTCTGACATTAACTCGTTATCTCCTAGAATCCCAGACTTAGAACAGAAATGAACCTTAGACATAAGTCGTCTAGCTCAACCCCTTCATTGTGCAAACAGGTAAACTGAGGCCCAGAGAGGAGAAGAGACTAGCCCAAGCTCACATAGCAAGTGGCTGAGCTGGGATTCCACCTAGGTCTTCTGGGACTAGATCTCATGTTCTTTCCAGAGAAATATGCCATCTCTGACTGTCACACCGTCTGGGCCTCAGTGTCCTGTTGCGCAAAATGTGGGGATCAAGTTAGGGGACCACTGAAGCCCTTCCAGCTCTAGTATCTTATGTTCCAAGCATTCACTGAACTCTAACACTTTATGTTCTAGGGTCTTTTCTAACATTCCATGTTCTAAGGCTCCTTCCATCCCAGACGTCTAGGTTTTAAAATCCTATGTTCTTAGGCCCTTCCCAGCTCTGACATTCTGTGCTCTAAGGGCCCTCCCAGATCTGATATTCTCTGTTCTAAGACCCCTCCCAACTCTGACATTCTGGGTTCTAAGGCCCTTCTAGGCTCTGACATTCCATGTTCTAAGGCCCTTCCCAGTTCTGATATCCTGTGTTATAAGGTCCCTCCCAGCTCTGACATTCCAGGATCTAAGGCTCCAACCAAATTTGGCATTCTATGTTCTAACATTCTGTGTACTTTACAAGCCTTAAAGCATAAGATAAACGTGTAGCTTGTGCTAAATTATCATTCTCTTTTCTCTCTCTTCATCCCTTTTTGTCATAAGAGAAGACACTAAGCCCCAGGGAGGGCAGGAGATTTGCAGGCACTTTCCCAGCTAGTGTCAGAGCAGAGATTGGAACCCGGGATCTTCTGACTCTTAGCCCATGTATGGGTCTTTCTGAGCCACATCATGCTGTTTGCCTGAATTCTTGATCTTCTCAGCCCTGAGAACACCCAGGCTGGGGATGGAGATAGAAGGGTGACAGAGATAGAGATCACACCTCTCTCCCACAGTCACCCTCGCTTTTTCCCACCCTTTGTCCACAAACCTCACCATCTGCTGTGTAGACACGCATGCCACCCCCTACACTAAAGCTCAGGCCCAGAGCCCTGTGCGGGCCCTTCCCAGAAAGCCTTCGGAGGCACATGCCAGGATGTGCTACTCTTAATGCAGAAGGCAAAACTAATCCTCTTTAAGATCGGTCTGTTTATTTGCATCACAGGCGCCTGAGTTAGATTGTTTTATTCTCCCCCCTGAGCAAACTGAAGAGTTCTCAATTTATCCTCCCGGCACAGAGAAACACCAGATTGTCAGCACCCAGGCGCACACACAGCCGCCCAATATAGTCTTCCAATTATCTTTTAATTTTGTTCCTGTCTTCATTTGTTTATTCCACTTTTTCCAAGAAGAAAAAAAGAAGCTGTGATTTACAGAGTTCAAAGCCAGCCAGCGGGAGCCGGGCTTTCGTGTTCACCTGCTCCTTGGCTCACAGGGAGAGAGTTGCCCCCGCCTCCCACCTGCAGCCCCCCGGAAGCCAGCCAGAATGATGCTTCTCCAAGGACCCAGAGGTGTAAAGGTTCCTTCTGGTGTCTCCTGAGTGGACTGAGGGGCCCCTAGGGAGTAAAATGGGGTGGGAAAAGTCTCTCTCTCTCTCTCTCTCTCTCTCTCTCTCTCTCTCTCTCTCTCACACACACACACACACACACACACCAGGTTCCAAGGGAAGAAGGAAGTGAGGGTTCAATTGAGCTGGGATAACCCACAGACCTCTGGGAAGTTGGGGAGGGGGGTGAAGGGAAGAAGGTCAAAGAGGACTCTGTGCCTACCCTCAAGGACCTACATTCCAATGGAGAGAACATATAAAATTATTGAGGACATACAAGATATATACAGAATAGATGGGAAGTAATCAGAGTTAGTAAGACACTAGAGGGGGGAGGATGGAGCTTTATAGAACGATGATTCAGTGATGTTAGCTTCAAATTAGTTTTTGTGCCTGTTACTAAAAAGATGCAGCAAGGGTGCACAGGAGACCCCCTGATCAAATGGATGAGTCCAGCCCCCCAGGCCATGGGATAAGATAACTGACTCTTGTCAGAAGGGAGCCCCTCTGTGGATGGGGACATACCCAAATGGATTTGGAGGGCCTTTCTAACAGCCCAGCTCTTTGAATAAACGTGGGTGGACCGATTATTTCCACCAAGTTTTCAGATTGACCTGGGCTGAAGTCCATCATTCTCTGAAAACACCTTCCTACTCTAAATTCAATTCCATGACCCTTTCATAGACTCGTAGACTTAGAACTGGAAGGGACCTTAGAGGCTAGCTAGCCCAACCTGCTCAGAAAAGGGGTAAATCAAGTTTCGGAAAGGTTAAGCAACTTTGCTCAGGATTATACAGTTAGCAGGTGTCTGAGATTTTAATTCAGTTCTTCAGAATTCCAAGACTATTTAACTCTCTGTCCAGTATGCTACACTACCTAATATGCTCAAGCCACAGTATTGGGTACTAAGATATGAAGAACCCCCCAAAAAAATTCCTGCCCTCAAGCAGCTTGTAGTCTACTGAAGAATCACAATAGGGAAAGAGGCGATTGGAGAGGGGAATAAGCTCTAACAGCTAAGGGGATGTGGGAAAGGTCCCATAGCAGGTAACACCTCCTGAGCCAAGTCTTGGAGGAGAGTGGGAATTCTGATAGGGAGGCATTCTGGGCACAGGAGGCAGCCTGGGCTAAGGCACAGAGTCAGGGTGGCCCCAGCCCATAGGACTCATTCCCTCTTCTCAGCTCTTCCTGGTCCCTTACCCTTCATTTCTGACCTGTATTCCTTCCCTTTCCTTCGAGAAGACTTTTCTTGCCCCTGGCTCTGAGGACTCCTTATTCTATGCTCCCTGGGGAACCACACTCAATTGATTTTGTGAAAACATATCAGTCAAAATAATATTAGAGGGAGCTGTCAGTTCCATGTGAGCTAGATGTCACTGGGAGAAGTCAGGACTCGGAGGCAGAAGGCATGTCCATTAACCTCTTGGAACCTCACTTTTCAAATCCATGAAACAAGGATGACAGGTTTTCCTCCCTACTTCAGAAAGTTTTTCCCCCGTGGGATTTAGAGCCAGAGATGCACCAATGAGTAGGGAATGACTCTGACCCATACTGGCTGAGTGGGCCTGGGCAAGTCACTTCCCAGAGATAGAAGTGACATGACTTTGCTGAAGTAGAACTAGTTGCAGCGGCAGGGGCAGAGCCAGAATCTGGAACCCTGGCCCTCTGACTCCAAATCCAGGTCTCCATTCCCCATATTTGGAATGATCTGACTCCTCACAGAGCCCCTTTCTTCCTTTGACAGGCAACTCAGCCACCATCTTCTACATGGATCCTTTGCATATCCCCCCAATAACTTGTGTCCTCCCTCCCAAATATCTTGTATTTATTTGTATTTATTCTCTTTATATTTATTCTGTGTGTGCTTATATGTGTACATACTGTCTCCCCAGATAGAATGTAAGTTCCCTGAGGGTAAGGACTATTTGATTATTCTCTTTTGTATCCCCAGTGCCCAGCCAGTAATAAATGCTTATTGATTGATTGAGCCGCACTGCCTCCGACTAGTGAGGCCCAAGCGCATATAAAATACTTTGTAAACCTTAAAAGAGCCATGTCATTATCTTATTATCCTTAGTAAAATGCTGAAAATAGGTGATTGGCCTACGGTGTCCCTGAAAGGTTTGGTGATAATGCGTTAAGGAAGTCATTGGAAAACGATGTTGGTCCGGCCACCTTCATGCGGACGTGCCTGTACTAATCTATACCTGCTTGTTTGTCATGCCTTGGTAAATAAGTGCGTTCATTATTTCTCCCACAGGTTCTGCCCATATCCAAACACTCCAAAGGGAAAGGACTGTAATAGGATGTCTATATTTATTGACAGTGCTACCCATCACCCAATTGGAAATCTAAGTAACTGAAGCCCCACTTGGTTATCTGACCTGGAGCAGAGACCCTCTCAACTACATCACAAACGAATAGTCATCCAACCTTTATCTGAACTTCTCGAGTGATAATGAATTCGCTAGGTGGAAAGAGCAAAAGGGCTTGGATCAGAAGGGATTGAGTTCAAATCCAGCCTCAAACACTTATTAGCAGTGTGACCCTAGGCACTTCACCTGTGTCTGCCTCAGTTTCCTCTACTGTAAAATAAAGATTATGATAGTACCTACTCTCCAGGCTTGTTATGATTTCCTACCCAACTGCACTCACTCTGGACGTCGGTAGAACTCATTCTAATCAGCTTCTCCACTCGAATTCATTTTGTATTTCTTCAAATTCTCTGCCATGCCCCCACACTGAGTATCTTCCCTCACCCCTTTTCAGCTTTCTTTTGTATATTGTCTTCCCCTATTAGAATGTAAGCTCTTTTGAGGGCAGGGACTGTCTTTCTTTTTCTGATTTGTATTCCCAGTGCTTAGCACATTGCCTGACAAATATTGTTTTTATAGTTGGGTCATTTTAGTCATATCCAACTCTCCATGACCCTATTTGGGATTTCCTTGGCAGAGATACTGGAGTGGTTTGCCATTTCCTTCTTCAGCTCATTTTACAGATGAGGAAACTGAGGCAAACAGAGTGAAGTGACTTGCCCAGGGTCATACAACTGGTAAGTACCTGAGACCATATTTGAACTCAGGTTGTGCAGACTCTAAGCCTGGCACTCTAACTAATGCGTCACCCAGCTGCCCCTGGCACATATTAGGGGTTTTAAAAATGTGTACTGACTAGACAATATCTATAAAGCGCTTAGCGCAGTGCCTGGCACATAGCAGGTGCTTAATAAATGCTTACTCCCTTCCCATTTCCTGTCCCCAGTCTTTGACTCCTCCTTCCCCATAACATTTAATTCATCATCCAGTCCTATGGACTCTAACCTCTTCAGTGTGTTTCCCATTCCTCCCCTTCTGGCCTCTCTTCCCACTGCCAGGTACCAGTCACCTCTCATCTGGATAAGCCTGGCAGCTTCATCGTATCGTGGCACCATACGATGTCAGAGCTGGAAAGTGTAATATTGTCCAAACTCTATCAACAACAGGCTCGCTTTTACGTGGTGCTGAAACAAAGGTCCAGTCTTCGAATATCAGCCTTCTTTCTGTGCAGCTGCATGGCTGTGAGAATCTGAGTCAGTTGGAAGGGACCGCTGAGGCCAGATCCATCCCGTCCTCAGATCAGAATTCCCACCATCACATCCAGTACAAGTGACCGTCCAGGCTGGTTTTGGAGATCTCCAGGGTGGAGGAATCTGCTACCTTGCCAGCTTGAGAGCCAGCCCTTTACCCTTTGGGATAACCTGGATTAACTGAAAGTTCTTCCTTACCACCACGCCCAAGCATCGACCTTAATTCTACCTTCAGGGGGCCAAACAGTCCAAATCCCATCACTTTTTCAGGTGTCAGCCCTTTGGTTTCCTTTTTACTTTCTTCTTATAATTAGATTTGGTCCAGTGTTCTAGCCTGCCCAGAGTTTTGAGAATCCTCACCACGCCATCCAACTCTTGCAAGCTCTGCGTCATCTGTAAAGTCAATGAGTGTGCCAACTGTGCCTTTAACCAAGTAACTAAAAAAAAATGTAGAAGCATAGAGCCAGTCACTGATCCCTGGGGAACTCTGCTGGAGACATCCCTTTTAAGTTGACATCAAACCATTGAGGGCTACTCTTTGGGATCAGCCTTTGCTTCTTCTTTTTTGGTGAGGCAATTGGGGTTAAGTGACTTGTCCAGGGTCATACAACTAGTAAGTGTCAAGTGTCTGAGGCCAGATTTGAACTCAGGTCCTCCTGACTCCAAGGCTGGAGCTCTATCCACTGCGCCACCTAGCTGTCCCTGGGACCAGTCTTTGAATCAGCTCTGAATACATCTCCTTCCACCATCTTCTGGTTCAATGAGTCCTAATGTCTTGGTCTTAGAACCTCTTTAGGGAGTCAGCTGGGTGGCACAGGGGATAGAGAACTGTACCTGGAAATAGGAAGTTCCTTGTTCTGGTTCAGTCATTTCAGTCCTGTCCAACTCTCCATGACCCCATTGGGGGTTTTCTTGGCAAATATGCTGGAGTGGTTTGCCATCTCCCTCTCCAGCTCATTTTACAGATGAGGAAACTGAGGCAAACAGGGTTAAGTGGTTTGCCTAGGATCACACAGCTCTCAGCTCTTCACAAAGAAGGGCTCCTGACTTCAAGCACAGTGCTCTATCCACTGCACCACCTGACTAAAATCAGGAAGACCTGAGTTCAAATCCACCCTCAAACACTTACTAGTTGTGTGACCCTGGTCAAATCATTTTACCTCTGCCTCAGTTTCCTCAACTGTAAAAGATGGGGGGGGCAATAACAGGTCCTACCTTGTGTTGTGAAGGTCAAATAAGATCATATCTATAAAGTATTTAGCACAGTGCCTGGCACATAGTAAATACTATGTAAATGTTTATTCCTTCCTTTCCCTCTTCCCTTTCATACCCTGAAAAATTATTAATGCCCCCTAAGAGCTTTTGTTTATGTGGGTTATAGCTGTCAATGCTTATCATATTAGAAATTAAAACATTTTAATGTTATTATGAAAATTTTTAAACTCACAAACTCCTCCTGAAAGGGTCTCAGGAACCCTCAGGGCTATTAAATCCACACTTTGAGAACCACTTTTCTAGCCTTTATCTTTTCATCTTTTCCAAATTGCTTTGCTAAAACCTAGGTAAATTCTCTCCATGGCGCTCCCTTGATCTACCAGTCTACTAACCCATCAAAAAATAAAATAATGTCAGTCTAGTTTGACCTATTCTTAATGAAATCTTGTGGTCCCTTTGAGATCACTACTTTTTATAAATGTTTGCTAACCATTCCTCCCTAAAGTTGGTGCCTTTCCTCTGAAATCACCTCCAACTAACTCCATCTATATCTTTTTTTGTACATAGTTATTTGCATGGTGTCTCACTCATTAAATTGTAAGTCCCTTGAGGGCAGGGGCTGTGTTTTGTCTTTCTTCTTATCTTCAGTGATTAGCACAGTGCTTGGCACACAGTAGGTGCCTAATAAATGCTTCTTGAATAGACTTGACATTCTAGAATTTTGCCAAGAATCAAAGCCAGGTTCACTATACTCTGAGTTCCTGGATTCATTCTCTTCCTTCTTAAAAAAAATTGGGACATTTGCCTCTTTCCCGAACAGTACCAACTTCTCTTGTTATCCAGCTATTCAAAGATCAATGATGAGTGGCTCAGTAATTATATCTGCCAGTTCTTTCAGTAATGGATATATGCACCACCATCTCTGGAGATTTAAAGTCACAAGTCATTCCAAAAGCAATGGAGAGGCACATGGCAGACATGGTTGGCTATAGCCCATCACCAAGGAGGAACCGCACAAGAGAGGGACTGTAAAGGATACCATTTCCATGACTGGAAAGGGAAGCAAGAGCTTCCTTTATTTAGGAAGAATGAGAGTTGCCCTGTAACCAACGGACAGCCTACATACTCCATTGGGAACTATTCAATGTCCCTCCATCTTTTCCACAGAAAGAGATCTGGATATCGTGGTCCCCAGCATGCCAGGTTGGAGGCGTCATGGAGGATTTATGGGAAGACGTGGTAAAGAGATTTACTGAATGAGAAAGAGTGCACATGCTGCAATTCTCCCTGCTGGAGGGAGAAACAGCTTGCGTGAGATGACAGAACCATCCAAGCATCCTAGTTCCTCCTAACTGTCCTGTGAGGCAGGGAGCGCAACTATATCATTCCTATTTCACAGATGAGGGAAGTGAATCACAGAGAGGGATTCAGCTTCTCCAAGGTAAGACAAAGTAGGAAGTAGCTGAGTCAGAATTCCAAGCCAAGTCTTCTGGCCCTAAAGTCACTGTTCTTTCCATACTGAACTACAAGCCTTCTTATCTATGAACCTACCTCCGTGTTTTCTCCCGACCCCAATCCATTCCTCAATCCATCCATCCTGCAAAGAAGGTGAAATTAACCAATCTTATGTCATGGAATGAAGGATTTGGAGCAGAAGGGGATTTTAGAGGTCGCCAAGCTGAACCTCCCCCTCACTTTTATATATGAGGAAACTGAGGGTTAGAGAGGTTAAGGAAGGAAGAGAGGAAGAGAGGGAAGAGACAAAGGGAGGGAAGAGAGGAAAGGAAGGAAGGAAGGAAGGAAGGAAGGAAGGAAGGAAGGAAGGAAGGAAGGAAGGAAGGAAGGAAGGAAGGAGGGAGGGAGGAAGGAGGGAGAAAGAAATCAGGGAGGGAGAGGGGAAGAGAGAGGGAGGAAAGAAAGTCATTAAGAGATTAGTGTTCTGGGTACACAGTGCTACTAGTTTGGGATGCAAAAACAAAAGTAAAAGGGTCCCTGCCCTCAGGGAACCTACATTCTAATGGAGAAAACCAAGAGAAAGTGAGAACAGTAGCCAGGGGCGGGAGTTTTGTCTGGAAAGTCTTGATAGGTGGTGCCATGGATGCACGCTTTCCAGAGGTAGCATTGTGTTCACTTATTTACAATTCTCAAAGCAAGAAGGGAAAAGGGGGTGGGAGTAAGGAACTCAGTGGGGTCAGGAAAGAGTGGCTTAGCTCCCCCCAGTCTCTGATAAACAGAAGAGTCTTTATTCAAACCCAGATCCTGTCTACACATTCCATTTCAAACTCTGTCCTCACAGCTGTAAGCACGTCACTCCCCTCCTGGCACAAGTTTGTTAACTAGGTCCTCCACCATCTCCCTCAGTCTATTGGAGCCAGAAGGAGTCTTGGAGATTGCCTAGTCCAGCTCTAATTTGCCAAAGGTCACCCAATGAGGTGGTGGTAAGGGTGGGATTAGAACCCACATCTCTCCTAACACTTAGGCCAGTGCTTTGTTTGGTTTGGTTTGGTTTTCGCTGAGTTCTTCTGTTTCCCTCTAGCCATATCCCAATTATTCCTCTTACTACCAGTGGTCCTGATGTAGGTATAGTAGGGCCCTCTGTAATAAAAGTTATTTATTAACAGTTTGCTAACACTCACTCCCTGTCCTGAGCCTCTCTGTAATAATAACAGACACTTATATTTACACATCATTTTGCCCTTTACATCCACCAGTGACTATCTCTATCCCAAATCATATCCCAACATAGAGTACTTTATCCCATACTGTCATTCCTATCTTAAAAGGCTCAAAGCTAGATGGTGCAACCTGGACTGCAGAATTTCCCCACCCTCTCCCCAGAGTGTAAGCTTCTTGAGAGGAGGAATCACTTCACTTTTATACTTGTATCTCCCCTAGTTCAGTGTCTGGCCAGCACTAGCCTCTTAATAAGTGCATTTTGAACTCAGGTATATGGTAGAGTCAGGATTCAAACCTGGTTTGTGGCTTTAGAGCTGGAAGCATCCGCAGAAAGCAACCACCTAATCCAACCTCCTCATTTTGAAAAAGAGGAAACTGTCATTTTTATTATATTGGCCCTGCCTACCCATGAACAGTTAACAGTTCTCAAATTATTTAAATCTGATTTTAAGTTTTTAAAATAATTTTATTTTTATAATTTCTGAGTTTGTTTTGGCATGTGCGTTCCCAGGCATTTTATACTGTTTAGAGTTATTTTAAGTAGGTTATCTCTTCCTATCTCCTCTTGCAGGGTTTTTGTTTGTAATATAGAGGAATATTGATGATTTATGTGGATTTACTTTAAATCCTGCTATTTTGCTAAAATTATTAATTGTTTCAACTAATTTTTAGTTGAGTCTTTGAGATTTTCCAAGTATATCTCCATATTACCTGCAAAAGGAGATAGTTTTATTGTCTTACTCCCTATACTAATTTCTTCTACTTCTTTTTCTTCTCTTACCACTGTACCTAGGATTTCCCATATGATATTGAATAATATTGGTACTTATTTGAGTAAATAAGTCATTTTGACTATTAAAATACCCAAATTAACTACTAAGGACATATAAAGGAAGACACTATCTGCATTCAGAGAAACGACTAACAAATAGAAGTATGAATAGAATGGTTATGCATATGTATACATGTTTGTGTCTAAATAGTAGCTATGGAGGGGGGAGAAAAAAGTAAAAAGTAAAATAAAATTATATGATAACTTTATATATTTTAAAAGGAATGGCAAATTGCACATAATAGATTTGCAATTTCATGTCCAATCATCCTTTTTTATTATACTATGTTATGGAAATGCTTATTTTATTCCATAAATTAAAAATAAAACCAATAAAACTAAAAAAGAAAAAGAGGAAACAGAAGCCTAGAAAGAATAAATAACTCAGGATCGTGGTATCCTACCTATCTAGGTCATCCAGTCCAAATCCTTCATTTTTACAGTTGAGAAAACAGAAGCCCAGGTGGGTTAGAGTTAAAAAGTGATCTTTTTAAGGTCATACAGACAGGAAACAAGGAAGGATCAAACCCCAGTCCTCTGACGTTGATTTCTGATTCCAAGTTAAGAGATCTTTGTCTAGGAGGGGCAGCCCCATAAAGGGTTCCATACGTTTTCAGGGACATCGGGTACCCTATGACAAGACTTTCAGAGCTCTAAGGGACCTCGGTGGCCAGCTAACCCAGAGAGTTAACCTGAATAAGACCCTTTAAGTTACCACCCAGCCTCTGCTTGGAAGGACCTCCTCCCCTAACCTGGAGACTAACAAACTACATAGGTGGGCTCCAGGGTTCCTTTCAATAAACCAGGACGGAGAAGAAATCAGGCAAGGAAGGGGTGTAGAGCCAGAGAAGGGGCAGGAAGGGGGTGTCAGATCAGGTGGTTTGGATTTAGTTCTTGGCTCAGGCCCTCAGCTGCTTTGTGTTCCCAGAGGCCCGCTGCGTGAATGCTCCGCTGCCCTCTTCCCTCCTTCTGGAGCAAACATCCCAACCCCCATGACTGGACCCAGCTGGGCAGCCAGAAAGAGAAGCATCCACAGTGAGGATCCGTTGACCCTCCCCTGCCCCCTGATATGAGGGAAAGCAGCAGACCAGGCCCCTCCCTTGCCAGGAAGATTTGCAAGGGCTGAAAATGAAAATAGCCAAAATCAGAGTGTGTTTCCAGGCATCAAGTGACTCTTGTAAAAGATTCTACTTCTCAAGCTTCCTGGGTCTGTTTACCTGGATGACAATAAACTTACCCAGCTGGGGCCGAGTCTGCCGCTGCCCGAACCCTCCCCTCATCCACCCCATGCAAAGCACCCATGGCAGAAAGGCGTTGCCCTCCAGGCCTGCTCCCTGCCAGCTGCTGCCCCAGAGGTGCTCGCTGCCAGCCAGCTCAAAGTCACCTCTGCTTCTGCTTTGGGGACAGTGCCAACGAGGAACCCCTCAAAGCGGCAAGAACCAGTTTTTGTTGGGCAATAATTAATCAGATTCCTTACATTCCTTGGCCGCTGTGGGGCCTGCTGCCCTAGGATGAGCGACAGCAGCTCTGAGCCCTGGGATTGGCACTTGGACATGCAGCTTACTGGAAGGCTGGTGTTCTCTGCCGCTGCCCTGCTCCTGGGGACTCTCGTCTACAGGCTATACAAGTACTGGCCGTCCCGGGACCCACCTAGGGCTGGGACATCAGAAGCTGATGCCACTGCCACCGGGGAGACCAAGGTAGCAGGCCAGGCGGATCCTGCCAGCACCTCACCCGGAGCTCTGCTGCCAGGCCTCAGACGGCGGTGCCAGGTCAGCAGGGAGGAGGGAGCAAAAGGCAACCCAGCTTTGGGGAATGGCCAGCCAGAAGGGGCCGGTGGGGCCTGTGACCTCAAAGCCAGAGGCAGGCTGGACCTTGGAGACAGGCATCCTGAAGAAAACAAAGGGGCAGGCTTCAACAGACAGGAGCAACACCCTGGAAAATCCCCAGTCTGGGACTGTCTCGGAGAGAAAGCAATCGGGCAGGGTAAGAACTGCGACAGTGAACTTGGAAGCCCCCAGCCTGGACTTGATCAAGATGATAATGAAACAGACTGCCCCAGTGACTCATGGCAGGAGCCTGGACTCCTCCTAGACTATATCAAGGGGCAGAGGAAGGAGGAGGAGATCTCTGATTCTGGCAGTGAGAAGGCCGCCTGTGCTGCAGGTTGGGGGGACATGAATAGAAGCTGGGTCTTCACCCAAGCTGCTGGGATCAGCCAGGATGGCTTGGGGCTCATCAGGGCCACCTCAGACATGGGCCTGGCCATCAGCCAGCGTGCTGGGGAGGCAGACACCTCCTATGTCTTCTCATCCCTGGCTATGGCCCAAGTAGAGGAGAACTTTCTTGGGGAGCAGACACTGGAGGAGAGGGCCGGAGGGCCGTGGGAGGCATCTGCCAGTCCTGGCCTGAAAGGGAAAATCTATGACTACTATGTGGAGTCCACCTCCCGGTCCATCTCCAGAGACACGATGGCCCTAGGAGCCGGCACCTCTAGAATCCCTGGAGGGATAACTGTGCCTCAAGGCTCACCCCTGCTTCTCAACTTTGGGAGGTTTCCAGCTCAACCTCATAGCAGGTTCCCTGATCCCAATTCCTCGACTTCCCCAGGCTGCACCCATCCTTCTGACGGAGCTAAGGATATATGTGAGAGTGCCTCTTCCTCTCAGAGTCCCCCTTCACCCCCTGGGCCTGGCATCAGCCGGAAGGAGAGTTTTCTTCAAATCGCAGAGAACCCAGAGTTCCAGCTTCAGTTAGACAACACGGAGACCTCGCCCTCCAGTGACATCCAGTTGGCCCTCCACTCATCCACAGAGTCTCCGGATCTCAACCCAGCCACGGCCAGTCTGGAACCCAAGGTAGAGTTGGTCTCTGGGACCAATTTCTTCCAGCTCCCGCTGGTCCCTGGGGCAGCTCAAAACACCCACCTGGACCTGGGCAACTGTTACGAAGTGCTGAAACTGGCCAAGAGGGAGAAACTGGATGTCCTGAAGGAGGCTGCCTACAAGGTAATGAGTGACAACTACCTTCAGGTCCTTCAGAGCCCAGACATCTATGGGCGTCTGAGTGGGGCTGAACGGGAGCTGATCCTCCAGAGGCGGCTGCAGGGGCGGAAGTACCTGGTGGTGGCGGATGTCTGCCCCCAGGAGGGCACCGGCCGCCTCTGCGCCTATAATAATGAGCGAGATGCCTGGTGGCCCCTCGCCAGCCTGCCCCCAGAGGCCACATCCCGGGGTTGCGCCGTCTGTAGCCTCTTCAATTATCTCTTCGTGGTGGCTGGCTGCCAGAGGGTTGGGGGGCAAGCCTCCAACCGGATGTTCTGCTACAACCCACTGACGGGCATCTGGAGGGAGATGTGCCCTCTGAACCAGGCCCGGCCCCACTGCAAACTGGTGGTCTTGGATGGGTACGTGTATGCCATCGGGGGTGAGTGCCTGTACACGGTGGAGCGCTACGACCCTCGGCAGGACCGCTGGACCTTCGTGGCGCCCCTGCCCAATGACACCTTCGCCCTGGCCCACACGGCTACAGCCTGCGATGGCGAGATCTACGTCACGGGGGGCACCCTGCGCTACCTGCTGCTCCGCTATTCGGGGCAGGAAGGCCGCTGGAGGGCCAGCCCCGCGGCGGGCAGCAAGGACCGAACGGCCGAGATGGCGGCCGTCAATGGCTTCCTCTACCGCTTTGACCTCAACCGCAGCCTGGGCATTGGGGTCTATCGCTGCAGCGCCCGGGCTCGCCTCTGGTATGAGTGTGCCACTTATCGAGTGCACTACCCAGCTGCCTTCCAGTGCGCCGTGGTGGGCAACCTCATTCACTGTGTGGGCCGTCAGTTCCACCTCTGTTTCCTGGCCGACTACGTTTCTCCCCGCTTCCTCTCCAATGAGCTCCAAGGTTTCCCATCCCCACGGGGAACCCTCATACCCACGGCCCTGGTACTGCCCGCCCTCAATATGGCACAGACCAGGGTATAGAGATCCCCTTATTATTTTGGAGGGATTCCCCCCTTAGCCATGGAGTAGTGGGGAGAATATGGCCTCTAGATTCAAAAGACCCGGGTTTGAATCTTGCCTCTGGCATTTGCCAACTGTGTGAGCCTGGGTGAGTCCTTGCACCTTTCTGAGCTTCAGTTCTCTCATCTGTAAAATGGGATGGATAATAATAATAATCCTGGAGCTACCTACTGTCCAGAGTGGTTGTGGGGCATGGACTTTGTAACCCTGAAAGCCCTGTAGAATGTGAGTTTGTTTAATACTTGGAGCATTTGTGATTTCTTTGATGCTGGTACTCCTTTCGCTGGTGCACATCCCAAATCCTTTCTATGGCTTAGCAGATGATCTCCTGGCCTTGCTATGGTCTTGAGCTTCTCCAAACCAAACTGAGCTGGTCCTCAGGTAACAGAGGTAAGATTCGGAACTGATTCTATACTAGTATCCCTTCCAGCTCCATAGGACACCAAGAGGGTAAATCTCCCTCCGTGGAGTCAGAAGACCCAGGCTCAAATCCTGCCTCCAAAGGTGACTTCAGGCAAGTTGCTGAAACCTCCCTGGCCCTCAGTTTCCTCAGCTGTAAAACAAGGGAAGTTGGTCTCTGCCACCTCTGAGGTCCCTCCTCTGTGGGCCTATGGACCTGACAGAGATTTTCTGCTACTAGCATCTGTAGTCTTCAAGAATCTAGGACCACCCCCTCCCCTCCCCAGGCCTTGATAAGGCATCTTGTGAGGGTGGAATCTTTTCCCTGAAGCTCTGGGGTCTCTTTTACCCCTCGGAGCTTCAGGCACATTAATCTTCCAAATGGGTATGGCATTCATCCCCCACAAGATGGTGCTCTGAGGGCCCCCAACCCTGAAACAAACTTTCATTGAACAAAGAGTTAGGAAGCTCCTATTTGTATTGTGTGCAGAGACTGCCTGGAGTCCCTGAGAATGGCTGGGCTCTCTTGGGAAAAGTCTTGAACCAGTTCAAATCGGCCTCTACCATTTACTTTGCCCATGTGACATTGGGCAAGTGACTTGACCTTTCTAGGTCTCAGTTCCTTAATTTGTAAAATGAAGGAATTAGACTGGATGGCTTTTAAGGTCCTTTCCAGGTTTAGGACTATGATTCCATGAGTGGGTTTAGTGTGAAGAAGACGTGAGTACAAATTCTACCTTGTTAGCCAGATATATGACTTCGGCTAAGTCATTTAACCTCCACATGCCTCTGGCAACTCCCCTATGAATTGGCTGCCATTTTGGTGGGTTGGCAGAGACAATGCCCACACAGGGAGTTTCCAACAGGAAATACCAGATCATTCGTATATTCTTATGTGCAAAACAAACACTGTGCAGGTAGCTGGAGGAGATACTAAGTTTAGATAGGGGCCTAATCTCTGCCTCATGAACTTTATAGTCGGATAGGTGGATCTCACCTACATCTTTGGCAGCAAGGTCATGAAATAGAACAGAATCTTGGACTTGGAATGAGGAAAATCTGAGTTCAAATCCTTCCTTAGATGCTTATTAGCTGTGTGAGGCTGGGAAGGTCACTTAAAATCACAGCCTCAGTTTCCTCATCTGCAAAATGGGGATAATAACACCTCCATTTCAGGCTTGTTATGAGACTCAAATGAGATAATATTTGTAAAGAACTTTGCCAACCTTAAAGTACTATATAAATGTTAGCTATTGTCATTATTTTCTCCTGAAGATCAAGGACACAGGCTGTCTGGTATTAACTGGCATGAGAGCTGTGGCCACAGTTTGCTTCTCTGACCTGGTATAACTACCCAGAAACAGAGCTGACTGGTTTGGGGAATAAAGAATGTTGAGGAAATGGTCAACAGCCTAGTCACCAGTGAACCCAGCTAGTGGACCAGTAATAGAGTGTGGCCCCCCAGGACCCCACTCACTCATCGAGTAACCCTTGGGATATACAGGTGAGAAGGGAACAAATGTTCTGGCTCTCGGTGGCATGAGAGGGGACATGGGCTCCAATGATGCCAATTTATAGAAAGAGCCTACAAACAATGTGAGCTGCAGAAATCTCCCACTATATTAGGTGTTTCCCTTGGGAAATTCCCCCAGGTCCAAATATAGCAAAATCCTGAAATGACTAAGCCTCAACACCATTCTCTTCCACTAAAGCTAACATGTTAATAAGTAACCAAGTATACATCAAAGGACCATCAAATGCCAGAGCTGGAAAGATCCTCAGAATGCAGAATGTCAGAGCTGGGAGGGCCCTTAGAACATGGAATGTCAAAGCTAGAAGGGACCTTAGAACATGGAATGTCAGAGCTAGAAGAAATAACATAAACTATCTAGCCCTACAAGAGAGGACAAGGAGAGGAGAGAATTTGATGCAGAACTTCCATTCCCTGATCTCAGAAAGCCTCCAAAGGGAGAAATAAGGTCCACACCCTCAGGGAACTCCTAGTCTGAGATGACTCCAAAGTCAGGAAAAACTTTTAATAACACAAGATGTCCAAATGTGGCAGGAGCTGTCGTGAGAGGTGGTGAACTCCCCTCTCAGAGGTGGGGTCTTCCAGTCCTCTTGTCATGTATGTTAATATGGAGGTTCCCTTTAGGCATGGGTCAGGCTCAATGGTGGCTAAAGTTCCTTTCAATTCTGGTATCTGTAGTGATGAAAGGGAAAACATGGCCCCTCCCTGGCCTAATAGAAAACAGAACACACGATCTATTCAAATAATACCCACATCTTGGTCTCTCCAGGATATGAGTGTTTGTTTGCACGAGGTGTGCACCTGTGTAAATACAAATATTCTTCCAGCCAATGCTCCTGTCTGAACTCTGTGGGAACCAAGCAGCTGGGCTAGGACCCCAGCTGAAGACTGGCCGAGGCGATGGGTGGAGATTGGGAGAGGACCAATGTGGGCTGGAGAGGGGGGCAGAGAGAGGTGGCGTAAATGGAGCATAGGAGGCCAGATCCACAGGATGAGGGGTCCCAGCATAGAGGGCCACTCTGGGCTTCAGTGTCCTCTAGAAAATGAAGAGAATAATCCTACTTCTCCTCTACTTCCTGGGAATTCTGGGAGGAGAAAAGGCAATATCTCTGGGGAAACTTTTGGAAAGTAAAAGTGTTTCAGCAATGGAAGAAGTTGTTTTTCTGTAACAGAAGCCCACCTACACCTAGCCATGGTCACTTCTCTGGTCTTGACCCATTACTGGTTCCTGAATGCCTGGTGAGTAACGTCCAAACTCTTCAGCCTGACATTCAAGGTCCTCCACCACCCGGCACCTCCCTCCCTTTCCTGTCTCATGGTCCTCCCTTCCACATGAGCTATACTTCAGCCACCCTGGATGACTCTCTGCTCCCCATCCACCCCAACCCTCCCCAGCATGCCCTGCACTCTCTCCCCTCTGTGCCTTAATTCTCACTATCCCACGACCCTCGCCTTTCTCCACCTGTTAGATTCCTGCTCAACTCAAAAGCCACAAAGCTTCCTGTGATCCTCCTGGTTGGTAATGACTTCCCCACTCTGGTCTCACATATTTCTGCAATGCATTTTTCACATAACATCATGTATCATGGTTACCTCCGGAGCTATCTTATGTCCCAACTAGACTGTAAGCTTCTTACAGGTAGAGACTGTTTCTTCTTTGAGTCTCTCCAAGCACCGAGCCCAGGTCCCGTGCAAAGCAGGATCTTTAATAAATCATATGGTCAAGAATGAACAGGACAGTGCCGGGTGAGGACAGTACTGGACTGGGGGAGGCAGGGAAGAAGTGGGCTACACCATGAGTCTGGGAAGGCTTCAGAGAAAAAGAGGGTCCTGAGCAAAGTTTGGAAGAAAAGGAAAATACACAGGGAGATAGTCCCCTGCCCCTCCAAGGGCAGTGGGGTGGCACAGGTGATAAAAGGCTAGGTGTGGAATCAGGAAGATCTGAGTTCAAATCCATCTTCAGACACTTACTAGCTGTATGACCCTGGGCAAGTTATTTAACTTCCATCGGCCTCAGTTTCCTCAGCTGTAAAGTAGGGAGAATAATAACACTTACCCCACAGAGCTGTGAGAATTAAATTTAGCACAGTGCCTAGCACATAGTAGGAGCTTAATAAATGCTTGCCCCACCACCCATGGCTAAACTAGGCAAATCAAAGGGTAATACCAGTTTCCTACTCTACCCACCCCTCCCTCAACATCCCTAGGGAACATCTTTAAAATGCTTCATTCACAAGATCTTAGGTTTTAAGGCTCACTGAGATCTTAGAGGTCAGCTAGTACAAACTCCTCATTTTACAGAGGAGGAAACTAAGGCCCAGAGATAAAGTGACTTGTCCAAGGTGACACAGCTAGTGAGCAGCTGAACAGCCAAACTCAAACCCAGATCCTCTGGCTTACAATTCATTATTTATTCAATCCTCACAACAACCCTATGAGACAAGAAGTTCAACTGCCCCTTTACTCCTGCTCCGTTTTATAGATGAGGAAACTGAAGCTAAATAGGATGTCAGAAATGGAAGAAACCTTGGAGATCAGAGAACCAAAGATGTAGAACTAGGTGGAACTTTACAGGTTATTAAGTCCAACCCAAGTCCTTTGATAGATGAGGAAACTGAGGTCCAGAGAAAAAAAGTGATTTTCCCAGAGCTGTATAGACCAGGGATTCTTAACCTAAATTTGTCTATGGACAGATTGCAGAGGGTCTGCGAACTTGGATGGGAAAAAAAATCGCATCTTCATTTTCATTCACCTGAAATTGAACATTTCCTTCAATTATTTAAAAGTGTGATTCTAAGAAGAGTTCTGTAGTCTTCCCCAGAATGCCAGAGGTGAGCCCAAAAAAGATAAAAAAAATAAAAATAAAATCCAAGACGGAGGCAGGAGTGTGACAAAGAAGAACCACCCCTTGCTCCCAGGTGGGAGATGATGTCCAGGCCTCCACAGAACTCCTGGTATTAAACCACCCTTCCTCATGATCAGAAATAGAAGGTGTAGTAGATAGAGTGCAGGACCTGGAATCAGAAAGACCTGAGTCCAAATCCTCCCTCAGACACTCACTTGCCTGTGCAATCCTGGGCAACTCACTTAGCCCCTGTCTGCCTCAGTTTCCCCATCTGTAAAACTGGGACAATAATAGCATCTGTCTCCCAGGGTCACTGTCAGGATCAAATGAGATAATACTTGTAAAGAACTTTGCAAACCACAAAGCCCTAAATAAATGTCAGGCATTATTATTATTAAGGAGAGGAGGTGGAATATAAAGGTAAGCCTAAGGCCAGGATTGCCCATCAGCTTCTTTTTTCTGCA